AAAAAAAAAAAAAAAAGAAAAAAAAATCATGACATTCATAGTATAACTATAATAGATGCATCATGAGGATAGTTATCTGAATATCAGTAATTGAAGAATCAATTATAGAATCGAGTTATATCAACTGAGTGAAGGACATTAATTATCTTTTGTTGTAACATTTTTGTTTCTAATTTTGAATGTTTATGAAAAAAGGTTCGAGAAGAAAGTGAGGTATGCATCACGTAAGGCAAGAGCTGACGTGAGGAGACGTGTGAAGGGACGTTTTGTTAAAGCTGGTGATGCTTACGATTATGATCCCTTGATCCCAACCCGAAGCTGTTGAGAAAAATTATCTTCCCCCGACAAAGAAATGCTATCAACGGATAAAAACACTTTAAGAGAAAATGCTCATTTTTCTCAACTCTCTGCACGACGCTCAAAACACACATTTATGATGGAAAAAGAAGGTTAATTGCTATTCATGAGAAAGAAGCTGAGTTTATAATAATATGTACATATATACTGTTGTAACTTCTTCCCTGACCGGCCATCTAGAACGAACGAGTTGGATTGAGGGAGATTTTTCGGGAAATTGAAGGGAATAAACCGTGTTCAAAACAGAATAATGGATTAAAAGACCATAAATTACTCAGCAGCCGAGAGCTTATTTTCCAAGAGGACGTTGTATTTATAGTTTATTCTTTTTCTTGTTCGACTGGTAAAGACCTCCATTGTAGATTTTAGTGTGTATGTAAACAAATTGAGACCTGTTAATTTTGTAAACCATAAATCCTTTATAATAGTGTGCCCCTCAATTTGGTGCTCAAAGTTTGTATATCATTCAGCTGCATGCTAATAAACATATTTACATCCGTATTGTGTCTCCATGCTATTTTGAAGTGTTTGATTATGGGATATTAATTTTGGATTTATCAGTTTGTCTAATTTTTTATACACTGCAAAATTCTTACAAAAGAGTACTTGAATGTGCTACATTGTACAGTAATTGACCAAAATCCATACAGCATTTAGCGTGGAAGTACTCCATCACACAACGAATAACGTATGATTAAATTCTATATCTTTACTCGTCAAGAAATGTTTTGAACTCTTTGTAATAAATCCTTGTCTGAAATAACATAACACGAGCACATGACCAATAAATAAACAAAAAGCTTCTGATTGTACAAAATATAGCATAGAACAGGATGATGACATCCCCAAACTTGGGATCGTTATACCCTGAATCTTCATCGGCAAATCATGATCCTAACTCTAATCTGGCCATTTTACGTCTTCTCATAAAGTTCTTTCGATCATTTACTCCATTTGAGTGAACAGTGTTCCTTCTGAATCTTTTAGCAGCTAAATTGACTTAGTTATCATCTGATGAAGAATCCGACTCTGATTGTCTCCCAAATTCGTCAGCAGTATTCCGTTCCTATAAAGTAAGAACATATTTTCATGCAGCATGAAGATGTATAATCATCTACAACAAAAATGCATCTAATTTGGGTAAAATAGTATGTGAGGTGAGCCTTCCTGCGAAAAAGAATGAGATAACGCGTACGAGCATTAATGAGGAAAATTATACTTTTGTGCTCCAAATAAAGTCTCAAAGACAGGAAGAACAAACAGTATACTGAGACTATTTTTGATCAAAAACACTACCTGCATCTTATCCCAATCTTGCAATTTGGGGTTTGTTAGCATGTAATTGTCACGCAGAGGGGCCCACGCAGGAGCTTCACCACCAGAAGTTCCGACCTGCATATTTTTTGGAAGTTATTTTTTATTTTTTTTTTATTTTTTTTTTTTTGTGTAGTTTCATTACCTGACTAATACACAATATTGCAATACAATATATGCGAGTGTGTATTTTTGACGGAGAAAAAAAGTGAAAGAAGACCTTAATAGCAGTCCCAGACGATTGAGATGGTGCCTTGCCCAACTCGGAGAAGAAAGCTTCCTTACGCTTCTGCTTTATTACTGTTTGATCACATATGGACATATGCATTACAACAGGGGATTAAACACAAATAAGAACTAGCTTGACTTAAGTCAGAAGGATGCCTTTCCATAAGTGCAATTTCAATTACAGAAAGAGACCCTAATTCCTAAAGCACAAAACATGTATAATATATCAGCTGCCAGTGGAGCAAGTCTTGGTTTTTGGCAAGAAAATTATGAACCCCACAAGTAACATGCCAAGGTTAAATTTTGTCACCATGACTCCACTGAGGCACGGAGTTATCTCAGGATCATTCTCACCATAAGATAATATCAGCATATAAAATATAACCAATTGCAAGGGATGAATGTACTATATAAGGCGCATATAATTGCACCATTAAGAAGGTATACATGTCCCAATCCACCTATTATTCGGCCCATTAAAATACTGCATTTTCTAGGATGACCATGTATTGACCATCTAAATTTGGAGATGCAGTTGACAAAAGTTTTTCAGTAGTCAGTAGACATCCCCGAGTCTAGGGGACACTCTTACCATTATATTTAAACATCCTCTTTTCCTATTTACGCCCATAATTCACTGGATCCATTATTAAATATTTCTAACCTTCACAAACACCCTCTTCGACAGGACTTCTATGCTTGCATCAAAGGAATAAAAGACAAACGCTTTTATTCCGAGCCAAGTTCGGAAAATGACGCAAGAAAAAAAGAAATGCGAACTTACTGATCCTAAATATTCATGAGCAATGATATCTTATTAAGATGCAAAATACAGACCTACTTCTTTACAAAAATTAATGAAAATTTCAAGCAAATTAAGTACAATTCATAGGTTCCGAGTATTATCAGCTCCGAAAAAACAAAAAACGGATGCAAAGAAACCAATCACAAAGCACAATGCAGAAGTTTGACACAGGAACCTAAGTTCTATAGGCATACCCTTCTCATCTTTTGATCTCGACATATTTAAACCTCTCTGAGCACTCTGGGCCTTGTTTACCTGCACGAATTACAGTATTCTCAGAGTATGGTTCCTCAGATACAAACAGATGAGATCAAATAATGCGAATGCTATTTAAGAAGTAACTTACAGCATTGAAAAGCTTGACAACTGATCCTCGAGCATTACAAAACATATGGCCATCATGGAGCCACAATCAGACATCCGCTCACAGTATCGAAAATAATCAGAGAATAAAAAAATAATCAAGAAAACCGTGTATACCTCCTTTCGTTGCCACTCCTAATAGAAACTTTTCGTGGGCATCCAAGTAGTTTTCAAGCTTGACATGTCCCTTTTCTGCTATCTTTTCACAGTAAAAAAATAGCCAGCAAAACAAAGGAACAAAATAAATATTGGATACAATCTACCATAAAACCAAAAACGGAAGTCACAAAATGAGACAACAGACAACCACATAAACACACACACACACACAGACTGAGAGAGTACCAAATGCTTCTCCTTCTTCACTACCCCTTTAGCTTTCTTCTCAGCTTCTTCTTCAGCAAGCTTCTCAGCTATTAACTTCTTATGGGCAGATAATACAGGACCCTGTCAAACACAGAAAATCACATAATCACCACGCTCTCTCTCTCTCTAAACACACACACACACATACACACACACAAAGATGAATTCTTGCCAACCTCAGCTTACCAGTACATCTGCATCGCCCCCACTCTTCTTAACAATCTTCTTAAATGCCAACTTAAAAGCCTTAATGCCCTCCGTGAATTTCGTAACACCGGGCTGAATCCCACCATTTTCATCTTCTGAAACTTCTTCTGGCTCAGACCCTTGATTCTCCTCTTCATCATCATCCGATAGCTCATCCCCAAAATCATCATCCCTTTTCATGAACCCGGGTTTAACTCCAACTGAACGTCCCGGCTCCTGGAGCTGCTCAACATCTTCATCTTCTTCTTCTTCTTCACCTTCGTCTGAATTGTAATCCCTAGCCCTTTTCTGAAACAATTTTCTCATTTTCTTGTCAACTTTAACCTTTTTCTCTGCTCCGGGAGGCATCACCATTCTTTGCCTCTTCTTCGCCATTTTCCCTTTCTTTTTCCCAGACTTCCTTTTCTTTCCTCCATTGGTAACATCAAAAGACTGCTGTATTTCCGCCATTACCTTCTTCCTCAATGCTCCGACCAAAAATTGCGTTAAAATTTCACCCAAATATGAGGAGAAAAAAAGCTAGTGGCTTACAGCAGTAGGGTTTTAGGTTTTTGCCTGTGGTCTAAGAGCCAAAATATAGTGGGCTTGGGCCTTTTTTATCCTTTAATTGTAAGGTTGGGCTTATGCCTGCTATAACTTTCCTCTTATAAGTTAATTTGTGTGAAGATGCATGCAAGTCCAATCAAGTTGATTAGATTAGTTTAGCCCACGAGCTCAATGGGTCGGGCCTAATAGAGTACCTATATTCAATGCAAAATAGGTTGACCACATAAAATACATGCGAGTGTGTGTGACAAAAACTCCACTCCATCATGTTTTTAGCCAGCCTAGAGCCTACTGCCTACCCACATGGAACTCATACTTGCTAGCAGTGAAGTTGATGTTTATACAAAAAGTAGATTGAGATTGTGATGCACTTAGCTAAAGTTAGGATTTTTTATTGGTAAACTTATTATTATTTAGCTTATTGTTGATTCTTGACAAACTTGTGGATTCACAAGAAACTTGCACAAAACAGCAACTTTTTATGGTTATAATAATTTTCTATTTGTAAATCATTCATCAGGGAGTTCAAAATAATATTAGGGAAAGAGGCACAACATAGTTATTTTCTTTTATCATATTTTTCTGATATGCAATATGGGTGATGACAAGGAAATTAGGATGAAGCCAACTTCACCCCCTATATTAAGAACAAATTAACAAGGAAGATGCTAAAGAACAAATTAACACACATATATATATATATGGTCTAAATTTCATCCCTCTGCCAATAGTTGGTTCCAACTTGTTTAATCAACACAAAGAATATAAGAAAAGGGAGCATACTACCATCCTGCTACGGGATAGTTCCGTTACATTTTGTAAGCGTTGGATTATCTACATATTATTAGATTATGTGTATATCTACGGCTAAAAAGCATAACGAAATCCCCGTAACAGGTACTAAAAGATTCAGCTAGAATTAGCCACATAAAATAGCTACTATGAACTAAAAAAAAAAATGTGGGAACTGGTAGGTGGGTACATGGAAAAATTTCCCCTAATTTCGGCAGTGTAAAAACAAACATTGGCGGCTCTCACAGTTCCCATTTCTTGCAAGTTCTACAGTCTACACTACCAAAAAAGAGATTGGAGAAAAAAGGTCACATGGGTAAGCCATTAAAGTGAAGAATTTGGGTGGGCCGCACAGTCCATCTAGCACCAATATTAAAAAAAAAAAAAAGGAGTGATCTTTATTAAAGAATTACAAAAGAAGTTGGCATTTATCTGTCAAGTGTCGACAACCCACCTCAAAATTCTTCACCCAAATTACTTTCAAAGACTTCCAATCTTTTCTGGAAAATTCTTGTTTGACAAACAATCTCTCTGCTGTGAGTTGATCTGAGATTCATGCGTCTTTTATTTCCTTTAAATCCAGCACTTTTGCTTAATTGTTTTTTTCCCCCAAAAAAAGGAAGCAATTTTTCTTGCTAGGTTTTCTGGGGGTGTAGGTTAGACTCTTTACTTTGCATTTCTTGATGGGTTTTTTCTTTTCTTTCTTTTTGTGTAATTTTGCTTTCTGGGAGGTTTCTGTTGTCCTTGTTTAGATGGCAATGTTCACTTTTATTGTTCTTTGCTGCTGTTGAGGTGCCAGTTTTCATTTACCTTTCCTGAAGGCCCTGATCTTGTATTTATACCTATCATCATTTAATAGTAAAAGTTAACTGCTATCTGCATCTATATGGGTTCAGAGAACTTTTATGATTGTTTTCCTCTATGACATTTCAAGAAATAGCTGAGTAGAGATGTTCTTTAAATTTACAAATTGCCAAGAGGTTGTTTTTGTTCTTAGGTACAACACTGAAGTGAGCATTTTGTAACTTGACAAGTAGTAGTCAAGCTAAACCTCATGGCTTGTTTTTTCTAATTATCCAATGATTATATAGGATTGGGCTGCGGGCCAGATACCTGACTGCTTATTCATTTGTGGGCATCTGTTAATTTAGCCAAAACTTCAAGTTCGAATGCGATCCTCTTGATTTCTAGTTTATGAATTGAATGATAAATCTGATATATAGGGTGTTGTCTGTTAGAAGCTTAATTTGGTAGTGTTTGTGTTTTGCTGCCTTGCAATTAGTTTATAAACTGAATGAATTGCTTTCGGTTTCCTCTCTTTTTTGCTAACTCATTTTTTTTTTTTTTTTAAATTTGCTTCATTAGGTCACAAAAGCTTAAACAATGGCTATCTCATCCTACCAAACCCCAGCCGAGGCTGGCATACTATGCCTAATCATAGCAAACATGGCAATGTCGATCTCAGCTGTGAAAGAACTCGTTTGCTCGATCCTTAGCACAATGGGCATCCACATGTCTTCATGGGATGAGCTCTCTGTCGAGTCCCCCGACCCATCTGAGTGCCAACTGAGCCCCTCTGAGTCCTACATGGACGATTTTCGGCTCCAGACCGTGAGATTTGACTCGGTTTTCCCATGTGGGCCCGAGGGAGAAGAATGCTCGATCTGCCTGTCGGAGTTTGACCGGTCGGCCGAGGTCAACCGCCTATCATGCGGCCATGTTTTCCACAGGCCATGCCTCGAGAAATGGCTGAGGTGCTGGCGCATGACGTGCCCTCTCTGCCGGAACTCCATGATGATGCCGGTAAAAATCGAGGAAGAAGCAGATGCTTGCCCTATGTGAGTTTTTTGCTGAAACTGCCCCTAAACTTTTGTCTAATTGCACAAAAGGTCCCTCCGATTCATCTTTTGGGTTTTTGTTTCTTCGAATTGCCTCGAAAGTCGAGACCTTGATGGGTACGGTTTTTTCTTTTTTGCGTATTTTTGGCTAAAGCTATTGGGGTGATAGTTTCCAGTTTGAATTATATTTACTATCATCTCCTCTTTTGAAGGAATCTTTGGGTTGAGAGGAGTTCTATTTTGTACAGTAAGCATTTGTAAAAAAGTTGCAAACAAAAATCAGAATGTGTAGCTTTATGTTTTTTTAGGTGCCGATGTTATGCGTCCTCTTGTAGTGACGGGTTCAGCTCAACTGATTTGTATGTTTTGCTTGGAGAACCTTATTTCTATGCGATTATCACTATTGTTCTAATAGCGTTTATAATGTCGTAGCTTGCTCTAGCTTTTATTGTGATGCAATTTATACCTTAATCTTATGAGGAGCTGTGTTATGATATTGTGCAAAAGGAAGTGATTGATTATCAGCAATTTCTTCTGCTAGAAGCTGAGAAGCACTTTATTCTCTTAGTTTTTCCAGTTGAAAATCAGCCTTGTTTAAACTTATATCCATATATAGTTATAATTCTCAGCCAAGACAAAGCTGCAAAATGGAGACAAGACACTTGTGACTGTGTGTTGGGTACAAAGAGTGGTGTTGTATCTTATAAAATTGGTTTAGATGATTATTTGCTTAAATTAAATTCAAATCAGTGATGTTTTCATTTAACCTTTTGTGAATGTTTGTATAAACTATAAAGTAAAGACTGAATTATGGATTGGTTGGTTATCTGTGTGAAATATCTCTCCTATCTAATAACATTAGGCAGTGACATAGATTTGCTAATCTCAACGCATTGAATACAATATCAAACAAATTATAGTAACTGAGATTTAGAAAAGGTGGAAAATTTGAGGAAAAGCATGTAACAAAGAGAGAAATTTATTAGCTATTTAGAGCATGTTTGTTTATAAGAATTTTCAAAAAATTTCTCACATTTTAACTCAATCATTTTTTTTAACTCAACTTTAACTCAACCCCACTATCATCAATATTATCAATATAATTAAATAATATCAATCAATCATTTATACACACCACATCAACCTTAATTCACTATTCATCTACTCACATAATTTTAACTAACTATCACATCACATCTTCTCTCTCTTATTTTTACATCAATTTAATTTTAATCATTTTATTTTATATATTATTTTAATATACCCACTAACAACTAACCATACCACATTTTCAAAATTAACCAAACCAAACTAAAAATCCAAACAAGGGCACACACATTAATTACATGGGAAAAATCACCAACAGCACTGTGTATCAAAAGTTGCCATTCTTATGAGGAAATGATGAAAAGTTGTGGCATTTGTCTGTAGCCAAGCCTGACACAGAAAATGGGACTCAGCTTCATTTTTTGCTGTAAAATCCTAAATATTAGGCACGAGTTTTTGCTATTATTAAGGTAATTTGCCAAGGGCCACCCACAGTAAAAATCCAAGCAAGCTTCAATGTACAATAGTCTAATTACCACAATATATGAGCATATATTTCAATCTTCTTATTTGATTGATATTCTTCCCCCTGAAAACTGAAACTAGAAGCTGTGAAACGTAACTTCTCTGTGACTGATATCATAGCTATACTTAACGAAACAAAGAAAATTAATCGTACGCATTCCACCTTCCATATTATCTACATTGTCCTCCCATCTTTTCCAAAATACTCACTGATCCCTAAACCCGAGTTTTCGAATTCCACCCAGTAGTAACCTGTGTGTCTTTCATCATATATGGTAATATTTCCAAACGGTTGATTTCCAATACACTGAAAACAGTAAACACTTGGAGTTGCAGCAAGCAGAAAGGGCATATGTATATAATAAGACATCATTTGTCAATGCAGCAGCAGCAGATATCACAGAGACTGCCTCATGAGGCAATTAATGAACAAAAAACTCACTGTTAATAATAATGATTAGAATAAGAAAAACCAAATATATAAAAGTGAGACTACCACCAACTAGCAACAAGATCGATTCGCATGACGCCAACAAAAGAAACAAATCGGCCCTGTTTCTTAAATGTACCAATGTTTCATAAAAAGGAAAGGTTCTTAACTTGTAATCTACCATAATGAAATAAATAAGAAAGAAAGACAAAAGAAAACTTCTCAAACCAACAAACACAACATGGCAACCCACTTCATCATCACAATCGAGCACCTAAACCTCTTTTTCACTTTAACAACTCTAACTAGAGGGAGCGCATGTGTTGACCCCGTCCTTGCAGTCCCTGGTAAGATCATTAAACGTCTCGATTTGCTTCTTGCCCCTCAAGAATACCTCGGTATCAACTTGAACCCTCATGTACCCATCGAACTCGACTGGGTTCCCGTTATTGAGTTTTGCCATATCGGAATACCAGTCGCTGTTCGAGTCCCAGAGATCCTTATAATCATCGAGAAAATGAGTCGTGTACTTATCCTTCAAGGGATCGAAAAATGAAGTATCGGGCTCGTTGGTCGCTATGTATAAGTTCCTCCCATCCTCGATTTTGTACTTCAAGGTTGATAAAAGAGCCTCGGGTGAAGTGTCCCTATCAAGATTAGGCCATAATTCTTTGTTGCTCGCCTTTTCACCTCGCTCGACATGAACCGAGTCGAAATCCCAATTCATTTTGGCAGCAATAGCAGAGGCAATATCCAACAACCGTCTCGATTTCCAGATCATACTCCACGGCCGTTGGATCACGCTCTCGGTCTCACCCTCACAGACCCTATACCAGTAGTTATCGGGCTCCACACTCCCGAATTTCCGCATGATAACAGTATCCTTAACATCTGCAAGCTTCATGGGTGTAGTTCTGAAGTCCTCCACGAGATGTAGGCTCAACTTATCCTTCTTCTGCCACTTGCTCCAGTCGGACCAAAACTGATTCTGCTCCAAAACGGAGGCCGAGTCCATCAAGTGCTCGAAATCAAAGTAAAATCTAAAATCCTTACCCTCTTCGTCTTGACCGGACGAGGTGTGGATTTTGGAGAGGCAAATACTCAGATCCATGACCAAAGTCCGGTTCAAATACTGCGCCTCCCCAAGCATACACATGAAACTCCATAGATACTGGTTCATGCTCTTGCACCTGTCCCCACCACCCGAATATATCAAGTACTTGCCTTGACTAAAAGAACTTTCTGATTCAATTGTGGGAATCGCATCATTTACAGTCTCACCAACCTCCGGGAGGGAAATCGCCTTATCCTGGATCACTGCCGGCACCTTTTCGTAACCCTCGAACAACTGTATGTTCTTCTCTCTTTTCTTTCCCTTCCTTCCTTTTTTCTTCCTCGCATTCGCACCTGAATGATAGTCTCCGATCCTGGCCACAGTAAGAGTACAGTTGTCGGACCTCTCGAGCATGAAACTCCGGTAGTCCTTATAAAATGCGGCGGCTTTACCTTCCTTGGGCCGGAACCGCCAGGCCATGTGGCACGAGTTGACTTCATTCCCTGGGACAGGCTTTCCGAAACGGTAGAAATGGATGTCCTTGAACTGCTCAATGGTCCACCTCATCAACAGATGGAAAACTTCGGGATCCCGGCAGTTGATCGGGTCGTCAATCTTGCAGACGCGGGCCTCGGCTTCCGGATCGGGCTCCTTCTGCTCGTCTTCCACCACTGACATCGCGTTGTCAACGTCGGTGATGTTGATGAAGGTGTTGAAGGCGGTCTGGTTGGCTGCGACGAAGTCCTCACCAGTACGGACGACGCCGGAGTCGGATTTGAAGGTGGCGTTGGATTGCGAGGTGAGGAAGCTCGTGATTTTCGAGGAGGGATGGAAAAGGGGGTCCTCCGGCTGGTAGGTGGCGGCTATGATTGTGAATACCAAGACGCCGACGACGAAGAGGGTGAAGCAGAGGTTGCCGATCACGGACAGGGCATTCGGGCCGAGATTCTCGGCCCGGAAACTCCCGTTTCGGTACAGAGTCAACGGGCGGCCAAGCATTTTTACCTTCCTATCTATACAACAATGATATATACAAAGGATATGGAAAATCAAACAAACGGGTTTGAAAGAAAGCTGGAGGAGATTCGAATCGAGCAAAAACTGGCCCAAAACTTGGAGTGCGACTGTAGATCTGGTAGAGATGCGACTGTAGATACAAAAAAGATGTGTATGTAAATGCGAGTGGATTACCTCAATCTCAGTGCGAGCATAGAAAAGAGAGGCGATCAGCTCACAGGCATTCGTCGATTTGCTGCTTCTCTTTGCTTCTGATTATTAGTTTGAGAGAACAATGGAGCTGCCAAACTGACTTCTTTGGGGAGTGAAGTTAACGAGTGATGACCAACAGCTGCAGCAAGACAATCGACTTTGTTGCTAAAATGAGCCGCGGGTGACGGACGCCTTGGTTTTGTGCAGCGCCTTGTTTGGCTATCACTTAAATAGCTAGCTAGCTAGCTTGTTTAGAAATTGGCTTCACACATAATTAAGGGAGGCTCATTTAACCAATAACCCAAGCTCAGATTTGATAAATAAAAAAATTTATGTTTCTCTGAATTGTTAAAATAATTGCTTAGACTCGAGTTCAACTCATTAATACTATCTATTTAATGAACAGAGAGTTGGAATTCTTTTACCGACTTTTTAACTTAAAGACCTAAAGATTCAACTCCATTGAGGATCAGAAACTCTGATTTGGGTCTTGTTTACAGCTCCACTAACACCAATTTGTTTTTTTTTTTTTTAATTACCTCAAATCATAATCAGAAAACCTTGATAATATGTAAAAAGGTAGTAGTAAAAGTTAAAATATCCTTCACCAAGACAAATTTTTGGGCTTTCAAAACAGGTCGAAGCAATTAGATTAGCAATTGGTTTTTATCATATCTACCAAACATGGCCTAATGAAAACGTGGACAGGATAGTGAATATTGGGGGCGTTGATTGATTTTATATATAATAATATATATAATGCTTATAATAAAATGCGCACTCGATCGGTGCAATAGGAATATGCATTGTTTTTGGTTTCACATCTCTAGAATGCACCGACACATGACAGCTTGCAGGGGCATAACTGTCATTTTAACAAAACAATTTTTTTTTGTTTTAATAAAATTATATCCAAAGTCCACCTGGCTGCAAGCTATCTAAAACCGACCACGCCTGATATTTTCACACCGTTGGATCACATATACACACACATGAACCCATGCATGATCCAACGGTGAACAGCCAAATGTATGCAAATCCACCCTAAATAACACATCAACCCAAAATCTGCCCATCCATACAACACACACAAGTGAAAAGTACATCTTATCTTAAGCTTATATATGAAAAATACCAAATTTACTCGCAACATTAAATTCAAACTGATACTAAAGATGCAAATTATATATATACAGTGCTGCATTCATAAATGGCATTCTTCTTTTCTTCTGCAATGCATTGGCCCATCCAAATCTCTATCGTTCGTCATTCAACTGTAAAAATAAAAACGAACATGACATAACAAGATCGAAGATGACATTTATTCATATTGTACAAAAACTTCAAGCAGCATCAACTCATTGCTTTTCTTTCCCACGATCAATGTAATACGGTGACAAAACTGATGATGCTTTCCCCTTTGTTTTCAGAAAACTAGACGACGGCGGCGAAAGTTCAACGCATATCCATGATTGGCAAATTCTCTCAAGTATTAAGACATGAAAAAACCAAAACAAACCGGGACTTGAAAAAATAAGTGGATTTTATGTTCGACTAGTGAAGTTACAATATGCCAACACACTAGTCAAATTATTCAGGAGCAGATGAAAATACTGAAAGATAAAAGCGTTTCTTACTTATACATTTTATAACAAGCTTAGTTGTACATTATTTCCTAGAAAAACAGGTAATATTTGAGAAAACCAGAAAAGAACTGCGACATTATCCGGGGGAGGAACAAAAGTGAGCATCAATGTGCATGGATATGAGAAGCAAAATTATTCAGAATCATTTTATTTTTCGATTTCAGTCTTCAGGAAATGATTGCTACAGGAAATGCTACATTTACAAATGTTTTCTTCAATATTTTTTCTCATTTTCTTTCCCACAGCTTGAGCTTTGTAATTCAATTTCTTTTTAAGGGGGTGTAAGTAATTATAGAAGATGACTGATTTTTTTTTTTCTTCCGTTTAATTTTTATAATTACGGCAAATTCAGGAGTAGTTTTCACCTGAGGTATCTCCATGAAGTGCACTTTGGGGTTAGATCAGCGCCAATATTGAGCCCAACGGTGGATGGTTTCCACCATTTGTGGGAATAACGCACTAACACTCTCGTTGATAAGATCCTGGAAAAAATGTATTGACTCCTCATCGTCCAAGTCCAAACGAAACTTTTCTTGTAGCTACATACACAATTAAAATCAGGTCATAATATGACCAACAAAAAGAAAAAAGAAAAGAGAAGGGAGAATGGTAGACAGATCCTCACAGAACTGAGGAATTAATGGAGATTTTCACCTTAAGAATGCCTTTCTCAGGATCAGAAGCAATATCGGGAATGTTTGAACCCGCCATCAAGTGAAAGAGATTTAATATTAGGTTACTCGACTTCCTAAGAATATTGTATGCTTCACAGCAGTACGATTTGAACCTCGTGTAGTACTGACTGCAAGTGGAGAGTGAAAAGTGAAAACGTAAGCGAGAACATCTTTTGTATTCACCCGTGAAGAGATACTTTGTCCGAATACAGAACAATGAACAAGTATAAGCGACAACACTACAGACAGCAGTTCCAGTTTCCCGTGTTCTTTTTCCTATCTTCTTTTTTTCCATTTCATTCCACTGCCAAAAACACGCGAGCAGATAAGCTCATTAATGTTGGCATTATCACAAAATGAACCCTGAAAATTGACTTATTACCCAAAAAGTGATTTTAGATGATTATCATCCCTACTGAGGGTAAAATATAAAATAAAACAAATTCATTAAGTTATTTGTAAATTAGGAAAGTGGATGGGGTTTTCTCTATTTACACAAAACCAACTGCATCTTTACAAAATCGACAACGATGCTGAAACACGTGATGAGCAAATTTCGAAGGTGTCGCAAAACACACCTTTCAGCTCCACCCATAGCTTCGACCATTTCTTTACAAAGTTTCATAGGAGGTGGGAATGGCTTTGGATCCCGGCCGAGTATAAACCCGAAATCAACATGGAAAAGGCGGCCATCATCTTGTAGCAGCAAATTATCAAGATGCCTGAGGACCAGAAAGATTCACAATGCAAGAGCTTCATTTGCAAATGTCATAAACATAAAGAATGACAGGCCCAAGAATGATAACTGCTCATCAAGCCAGTCTAATTTGGCACAGTTGGATAGTCACCTGTCACCAATGCCCAATATATATGTGATAACTGAATAACCAGCACAGCTTTTTATGAATGTTTCCAGACAGGTTGCTGTAATTCCAAAATGCCCGTCTTCATCTGGGTGAAACTTTTGCAGATAGCTTGTAATACTTCGATGTTCTGATAGAATCTGAAATTACATAAGCAATGTGATAAAAGCAGACAATGAATGAAAAACATAAAATCTTCTTTATTTTATCTTTCATGTGAGGGTCAGGGTCTCAATGTCTAACATTGCGAAATAATCATATATATGACTACCTGTGCCAATGATTTAGATGGAATGAATTCCATCATGCCTTCATCATGCCCAGTTGCTAATACTCTGTAAGGAGTCAAATGAAGATCTAGATTCTCCAATTTGAGCAATCTATCCATCAACGATACCATTTGAATAACCTGATTTTAAGTTTGACAAATTTTAAAAGAGCAAAAGGCAACATTATTTTGTATTGAATGAAACGTGGAATGGCATGGTGGCACTCACCAACTGGTCTTGTCTGAGATCATCACCCTTCTTAAATATGATCTTGCAGCTTCCTCCACTTGCTGTTCGTAAAGCCAGACGCAAGGGATTCAAAGCACTTTTGAAGATCGATGATTCTGATGGTATGATCCCGGTTATAAGGACCCTTGGTGCCAGAGGAGATCGTGTTGGCTGAAAAAGCATATTTTCTTCAATGTTCACAATACAAGTGGGGTATATTAGAGAGTAGTTGCATAAACTAGCCTTGACGTTTCACCTTGATTATATAAAACTGTTTCAAATTTACAGATACCCCTCCAAGGTGTTACATACAGACTTGGGGTTTGCATCTTTTTATAATTACTTCCAGACTGAAGGGTGTAGTATGCAAAATAGAAACAAATAGAAAGGAGTTGCATGTAATTTGCACAAATATATATACCTCAGCCTTTTTATTTCTTTGACCAGACTAAAAAGTAAAACTGAAGAGAATTTTGCAGTCCATCCTTATGTTAACTTTGATGAAGTCAAATGACAACACAAGATACAAATCTAATATATCTAGAACCGTACAGGCAAGAAAGATTATCAATAGGTGAGTACCTCATCGAAGTACGTTAGCTCGCTATGAAGCCCAGATAGAAGCTGCCGAAGCTTTTCAATCTTCTTCTGCGTTCCACCCCTTACATTTCTCACCTCTCTCATAATAGAACACAACTGTGCAGTCAACTCAGTTTGACGCACAAGACTTTGCCAAAGCTTAAAACCATCTTCATCACCATTTGCTGAAGACCCAAGCTGAGATCATGCATCATAGTCAGTCCACGTGTTCATAAAAAGAAAAACACGAGAAAGATCTGTAAGGAGAGGAGAAAGGAAGTATGAAGACCCCAAACAAACCTTTAACATACTTTCTTCCAAGCACTCGTAGGTGCTATAAAACCGTCTTGCATAAACAGGATCATGGAGCTCCACTGCCACATACCACCGTAGAAAGCTAGCCAAGTCAATATTACATAATGCTGCCAACAAAAACAGAAATGAAGATTCAGACAATCCTTTTATGGAACTAGAAAGTTTTCACAGCTTGTTAGAGAATATATATTTTTCATTTGCATCACTTACAGCGTTGAACAAGGAATTGACTAAGGCGAGACTTGTCAGAACGTTCAAACCGAAGAGCTTGAACTAACTGGAGTAAGTAGCACTGGAGCTCTTCATCATCAGCCCTTTCAAGAACACTCACAGCATATGCACGGACCTGTCCAGATTTTAGTGATAGCGTTTTTAGCATCCAGATACAATATGAATGGTCCACAATTGCTCAAAAAACTGATTCGAAATTTAAGAACTTTTAATAAATTGATGCATCAACCAGATAATCAGAGATATGCTTCTCATTAAAAGCAGAAACTAATGTTCTTTTTTCTCATTTGTGATCATATCATCATAATCCAACCCAATACACAGAAAAAACAATCAGTCACCATCAATTCACAAAATATATCTCTATGAATGTGCAATCGGATTTCAATACAAAGTTCTTAGCCCGCTATTATTACTGCCGGTCACTTCATAATAAAAAGAAAATCAATTAACATATATTTTAGCATATCTTCTAGTTTGCTGAACTACGTCCTAGGTGGAATAAGTATATTTAAGTTACATAAGCGATCAACCATAATCTAAATAAATCCCGACTTAGTGCAGAAGAAAAAATAAGTGTAAGAAATTAACCTCTTCACTCTCAAAAACTGGAGATAGAAGCTCCAATGCATCACAGACATCAATTGTCTCCCACTTGCCCATGAGTTCTAGTGCCTGCTTGGCTTCCTGTGGACAATAACAAAATAAATAAATAAATAAATAAAAATAAAAATAAAGTGCGAAGAAAGATTATATAACAGCAAAAGGGAAATTAAGCCGACAAATCTACATAAAGTGATAAAGAGCGAAATGGAAGATATAACTATTAGGCAATAAGGGACTATGTATCAGCTTTTAGGAAATTTTACCTGGACATCACTCCATTCTACACAGCGCAAAAATTTTGTCAGTGCCCTTTTCTCAGACATTAATGAAAATCGAAATTTCCAAAGTAGCTGCTTCTCCTCTCCAGTCAAAGTCCTTGTTGGAGGATATCTTAATATTCTTTGAATAGACCTATTAAAGATCAGATACATTAGCTGAGTAGCAAATTGGAAGAAAAATGATCGCCATTATGAAGGAAAAATTTCACACATGGTGTGTCATTGGAGGAGGTTACGTGCAACTTTCTTGAAGAAAAGACATATCAGGTATATGGTTTAAGAATTCAGATAACTTAATCAGCCCAACACTGCAATTTACCAAAAACAACACTTCAAGCTAAAGCTATAATTAAGCCTACTTCCTTTCTGTAGAGCTGGGTTTAAGATCTCTATCGATTATGCCCCGGTTTAAACTTCTGGCCAACTTTAGTTGCTTGTGCTCAGAGGGGTTAATTTTTCCGAGTTCAGGATCCCACACAGTGACAAGTTCGTTAGTTGAAGCTATTGGGGATGGAATCAAGAAATTTGCACCAGATTCCTGCAGACCAAAGTGATAATTAAATTTCACTCGGTAACCAAATAATGAGGCTACAATAACAAATATTAGTGTTTTTGCAGGATTCTGAAGAAAACTGTTATCATAAATATCACAGAAAAACTACTCGTCCAGCACAGCAGGTGTTTGTACCTTTGCTATGGTAGACTATATGTCCTACATGAAATTAAAACCCAACGGTTTACATGAAATTCAAACCCAACGGTTTACAGGAAAATCAAATAGCTGGGTTTGTACCTATGGAAGTTCACTGTTGCATAGGAAATAAAGACAACTGGAATCACAAGATTCATTAATAGATTTAAAATGCAGCAGCATCCAAATATATAGGCTATAGCCATGGAATTCAAATAATATTTAAAACATTCAAGAGGATGAAGAAACCCTACATACACTAAAAGTTACCTGGAAGACCACTCGATGTTCAAAGCTGCAGAAATCAACGACAACGTACAAATGGGAACCCCCCTTTTTTATGCTTTCGCGTTCCTTAATTTTCTCCATGGCTTTAAATGCAAGCCGGTCCAGCCAGTCAACTCTTTGAATTTGTCCTCTCTCATACTTATTCACAAGCTTCTCCAAACGTTCTAATTCTCCTCGCTCCTCTTTAGGGACCTAAACCAACACGATCATTTAACACAAATACTGAAAGGCAAAC